TAATGAGCATTAGTTGTGTCTGTGAGTCCCTCAGTGGCTTAGACTGTGGTTGTTAATGAAGGCTGTAGTAGGCTTTTCTGGGGACTGTGACTCCAGGCAGGCCAGTGCCTCAGGCACTAGTAGTTGTGCCAGTCAGCAGGGGATGCCTTTCCTCAGGCCCCTAGATAGTGCATGTAGGCACCAGCAGGCATAGGCAGAGCATAACAATCCTTAAGCCCCCAGATGACATGTACAGACACCAACAGCAGGCGGAACAGGCCTGTCATCAGGCCCTCTGATGGTGTGTGCAGACAATGGCAGCAGCATGCTAGTTGAGTCAGTCCTCAGGCCCTTAGATGCTTAGGCACAGTTGACAGTGGCAGTGGGCAGGGCTTATCCTCAGGACCCTAGACAATGTGTGCTGGTGGCAGTGGTGGGCATGGCAGGCTTGTCTCCAAGCCCACCTCTGGTGTTTGCAGGTGCTGGTGGCAGGCAGGTGGGTTGACCTCCTGGCACTATGTGCACAGGTGACAGCAGCGGTAGGTGGGTCAGACCCTTTTCAATCCCACTTTAGAGCTCTTCAGTTAGAAGTTAGTGTATGGTGCTCCTTTGTCTAACCATAAGTCATTATAAAATACAGGTTTATCAATTATTTTTTAGCATATTTAACACATTTAAATGGGATGAACAGCTTTTTAGTTTATAATAGGAAGCTAATAAAAATCAAATCTAATTTGTTTTGTTTTTTGAGACAGAGTCTTGCTCTGTCACCCAGGCTGGACTGCAGTGGTGTGATCTTGGCTCACTACAACCTCTGCCTCCTAGGTTCAAGCAGTCCTCCCACCTTAGCCTCTCAAGTAGCTGGGCTTACAAGCATGAACTACCATGCCCACCTAATTTTTGTGTTTTTAGTAGAGACAGGGTTTCATCATGTTTACCAGGCTGGTCTCAAACTTCTGACCTCAAGTGATCCACCTTCCTCGTAATTTGTTAATTAAGATTTGTTAAGAATAGACCAAATCGGTTAAAGTAATAAGCTTATGCATTTTTTAAAGGCATTTAGATTAGGAAATTTCATCGTAGTTGTTATTTTCCTCATGTTTATGTGTCCTTTTGTTTTTTTGTTTTTTGTTTTTTTTTGAGATGAGTTTCGCTCTTGTTGCTCAAGCTGGAATGCAATGGTGCGATCTTGGCTCACTGCAACCTCTGCCTCTGGGGTTCAAGTGATTCTCCTGCCTCAGCCTCCCAACTAGATGGGATTACAGGCATGTGCTACCATGCCTGGCTGATTTTGTATTTTAAGTAGAGAGGGGGGTTTCTCCATGTTGGTCAGGCTGGTCTTGAACTCCTGACCTCAGGGTATCCGACCATCTCGGCCTCCCAAAGTGCTAGGATTACAGGCATGAGCCACCGTGCTCACCCCTTTATGTGTCTTAATAGGTCTTTATAATCACATAACTTCCTGAAATATCCCAGTCATAGTTTAGTCATTTTATATTAATTTTCAGGGTCATCTTTAAGGGCAACAGTTACTTTGATAGATATATGTGTGAATGGAGATAAACTATCTAGGAACATAGGGTGGAATAGGGTCTGAGTTTAGTAATTGACCTGGAGCTTAATTGCTTGAAGTCTCTTCTAGCAGGGGTCCCCAACCCCCAGACCATGGACTGGTACTGGTCCATGGCCTGTAAGGAACTGTGCCACACAGCAGGAGATGAACAGCAAGCGAAGCTTCATCTATATTTACAGCCACTCCCTATCACTTGCATTACCATCTGAGCTTTGCCTCCTGTCAGATCATTGGTGGCATTACATTCTCATAGGAACATGAACCCTCTTGTGAATTGCGCATGCAAGGGATCTCGGTTGCATGCCCGTTAGGAGAGTGTAATGCCTGATGATCTGTCACTGTCTTCCATCACTCCCAGATGGGACCATCTAGTTGCAGGAAAACAAGCTCAGGGCTCCCAGTGATGTTACGTTATGGTGAGTTGTATATTTCATTACATATTACAATATAATAGTAATAGAAATAAAGCATACTATAAATGAAATGCGCTTGAATCATCCCAAAACCATCCCCCACACCCCTGTCTGTGAAAAAATTGTCTTCCACGAAACCGATCCCTGGCACCAAAAAGGTTGGTGACGGCTCTCTTACAGTCACCTTGCTTTTAGGTCATTTACTTACCATTTTCTTTTTCTTTCCTTTTTTTTTTTTTTCCTCAGGACACAGTCTCACTCTGTTGCCCAGGCTGGAGTGCAGTGGCACCATCATAGCTCACTGCAGCTGCAAACTTCTAGGCTTAGGCAATCCTCCTGCCTCAGCCTCCCAAGTAGTTGGGACTATAGGCATGTGCCACCACACCCTACTAATTTATTATTTGTAGAGATAGGGTCTCACTTTGTTGCCCAGGCTGGTCTCAAACTCCTGGTCTGGGCAACAAATTGAGACCCTATCTCTACAGGGTGATTCTCCCACCTTGGCCTCACAAAGTGCTGGGATTACAGGTGTGAGCCACCACACCATCCTCATTTTCTGTTAAAACTATTTTGCCCACACAAAATAGGCTACTGTTTATTAGCTTGTAACCACTTTTCTATATCTCTTGTACTAAGTTCATTAAAGGAAATGAAGAAGAAATGCCCCCCACCATTTCAAGAAATTTTTCCTCTGCTGTTTAAGAGCATTTTATACCAACATCTGCAAATCGTTCTTCGTAGAACTGGATGGTGATGCTGTGCCATTTCTCTAAACTATATTTTATGTTTGTTAGCTTTCCAATTTTTGGCAGTAATACAAAGTTTTATATAGTATTCAAATGAAGGTTTAGCAATATTATTTAACACTTAAATACACCATTTCATATTATATATAATACTCTGAGCCAGGAGTCAAATAAATGAGATAGCAGTAACAGACAGAAGGATGACAGTAATATTCTTAATTAACAGTCTGCTTTTTTCTTAGATAAGAGATTCAGTTTCTTGAACTATATACATAGGAATGCTATTCTTGGGTATCTAAAAAGGTGATTGAACCAAGGAGTAAAGATATTTTCTATCCATCTAGTCATTACCTTGTTCTCTGTAAACCACTGATAAATTTATGGCACCTTTGAAAGGTTTAAGATAATTACATATTTCAGCCATCAAATGTGGGAACAACCAGCTCGTCCTCAGTTGTCTTAGATTCACCAAGATCTATTAGGATTGCATTCAACAATCTTTGCAAAAATAGAGCAAACACCTTCATCTGCAAAAATACCTTCATTTGCATTTAAAACACTACATGGGATACATTAGCATCAGAGATTCTCAGGACACAGTTGTGTTTTTTATATCAATTATTTCTACCTTCTATAACTATAGGCTCAGTACTTTTGTTGGAAATTTGACTTCCATAATTGAGAAGTAACTATACTACAGTTGTTTTTCTGTATGTTGAGCTGTTTTGAAGCCATATTAATGGACTGTTTTGTGGCTTTTGAATAAAGAAATTTCAGTTGATTGATTTAAAAGAAAAGGCAGTTTAAGGTAGTATGATATCTTGACTCTTTCAGTCTGTACCTTGATAAGTAGCTATTTTAGTGTATCCTATGTATAAGGTTATATTTTACAATATAAATGTAGATAGCCATTTTTAAAAGATACTATTAGTTTTTCCTTATACTTAATGTATACTCACGTAAATTATCTGTGTTTCATTCACAGAACCTCACTTTATTTTATTTATTTATTTATTTATTTAGACAGAGTCTCACTGCTGCCCAGGCAGGAGTGCAGTAGGGCAATCTCGGCTCACTGCAACCTCCACCTCCCAGACAGAACCTTACTTTAAAAATCCCCTAACCCATTATCTTTCTGGCATAGTCTTAGTTTAGTATTTGTGGTCAATATTATAAGAATTGCTATTTATAGAAAATGTTTCTAAACATAGGTATCTTAAAAATGCCATGAACCACTTCTTTGTTTATATGTACACAAAGAATATACGTTTAGGGCAAGAAAATGGAAGTTACTGCTAGGAGAGAATTGTTATTAACAAGGATATATTGAATGCTTATATACAATATTATAATAGGAAAGTATAGGAATCATTAATATTGCTTTATAAATAGTTCTGTTGTTGGCTGGTCCTTGTGCAGTAGTGTTTACAACTATTTGATTACAACCAATTACAGTTCTCCACTCCCATTGCTTCACTTGACTGTCCTTAAAAAAGAAAAGCTCTGTTGAATTTATGAAAGGTATGTTAGTAATTTTTTAAATTATGCATACTTTTACAATAAATATATCAGTGTACTTATTTTCAGTGGGATAAGATTGTCTAAGTCAACATGTTAACCCAGTTGCATAAACTACAGATCTGAAAGTACTATGTAAATATCCAAAAGAAAGATACTGAATAAAGAGATAGTTTTTAACCTGCAGAAAGGAAACAAAGGTGGTACCTTTCATTATCCTGAAAGCCATGGATAGAATTGACATCTTTAAAAATTTTTGTCAATCTTATACAACAAATATTGCTCACGGCAGTCTCCTGAGAGTCTACCAATCTATATGATTCTGTGCTGCAGGCTGTGTGAGGTTAGTGCAGGGTGCTTTGAAAAGGCTTCATTAAAACATTCTGGGAAACCATCATTCTCCGCAAACTATCACAAGAACAGAAAATCAAACACCGCATGTTCTCACTCATAGGTGGGAGTTGAACAATGAGGAATATGTGGACACAGGGAGGGGGTTGGGGGCTAGGGGAGGGATAACATTAGGAGAAATACCTAATGTAGGTGACGGGTTGATGAGTGCAGCAAACCACCATGGCACGTGTGTATATCTATGTAACAAAACTGCACATTCTGCACATGTACCCCAGAACTTAAAAGTATAATAATTTTTTTAAAAAAGCATTCTGAACCATTATATTTAGACCAGACTGCATCAGTGTAGATAGTAAGAAAAAATAGGTGATGTTTTTAATATATATTTTAATATAATTATTTCCAATTATGTTGCAGGCTTTACTCATCAGTCTTAACTATGGTTGTTTTATGTGGCAATTGGGAGATGCTGATACTTGTTTTCAGATCCATAGCATGGAAAATAAAATGAGCTTTATAGTACATACAAAACAGGTAAGTATCATTTATTTTGGACTTGTAATAATGAAGTATTGTGTTAGTAAAGTTACTTCTTTTTTTTAAAGTGGCATCCATTTAACTTCAAGGAAAACCTGTAATATTCCATGAAATTAAAATATTTAAGACCAAGGAAAAAAGCCAGGCCTTCTGAGCAAGGAAGAATCAGAAACTTATCTGAATAGTTTGTTTCAGTTTTATAACAAACTCTTTTGCCATGTCTTTTCATTCTGGTCAGTATTACCTGTCTCTTTTATCAAGTTATTAGGTAGTCTTCCATCTCCTTGACCTACCTGTGCCTCCTAGCTGTATCCAGCAGATTGCGTCTTAAGTCCCTTCAAAAAGCCTGAGTAAATATCCCCTCTATACTCTTTCTTAACAAGCTGTCTCATGATAAGAAAGTTCCCTTTCAAATAGATAGGGAACTGCCCAGTGTCATGAATGTCCTTTAAACATTCTTACATGTTTTATATTTATTATTGACATGTTTTACTTTGTAGGCTGGTCTCGTGGTAAAACTGTTAATGAAGCTAAATGGACAGTTAATGCCCACTGAAAGAAATTCATAAAAGAGAAGTAACTGTTATGCAAGCCACCACATTTTGTAATGCAGAATTTTTTTCCGTGAAAGACTTCTTAAAAGATTACCTTGGCCAAGCATGGTAGCTCGCCCCTGTAATCCCAGCACTTCGAGAGGCTGGGGCAGGCAGATCACCTGAAGTCAGGAGTTCAAGACCAGCCTAGCCAACACGGTGAAACCCTGTCTCTACAAAAATACAAAAATTAGCTGGGCGTGGTGGCGGGCGCCTATAATCCTAGCTACTAGGGAGGCTGAGGTGGGAGAATCGCTTAAACCCAGGAGGTGGAGGTTGTAGTGAGCCAAAATTGCGCCGCTGCACTCCAGCCTGGGGGACAGAGCAAGACTCCATCTCAAAAAAAAAAAAAAAAATTACTTTCAACAAGGCATTTAGTTTCTTGTAATATATATGTACACTATTACATTGTACAGAATCTGTACTTATGTTTGGTGTGTAATATACCAATTAGTTTTATATAATATCCTCATAAGCTATTATAATTTTTGAGAGAAACACAAAAAGTTATAGATTGATAGTCTGGATATTAGACAAAATAGTAAGCTTTATAAAAAGTTATTTTTGGTAAATGGTAAAGAATTTGGAGTGGAATGTGATGAGATTAAAATGTAGCTTTGGTATAACTTCATGTGTATTTCAAAATATACTGAACGTCAACATGATTTGAATAAAGAAAATGTATTTTCTACTTGAACCATATGACACTTATTTAAAACAGTTTTCTGCAGTCTATAAACATTTCTCAACATTTTTTTAAAAGTCTTAAAATGTAAATCTGATATATGGTAATGTTTCTCAAAGTATAGTACATGAACTTGCATCATAATTACCTACGTGCCTTTTAAAATTGAAGATTTCAGAGACCCACTCCAAACAAGGGCATTCACTCTGGAAGTAGCATGGCCTTGTGAACTTAACTTTGGTTTTGTTTTTGCTTTTTTGCTGTTAAAATAAGTCCAGACCCAATAAGGAATTTCGATTATTAAAGCTGAGAAATTTCACAAAACTGCCTGGCACACAAGCACACACACACACAGACATATTTTAAGTGATCATCTCTTGATATCAGAAGTTGCATTTGTTAAATACGTGCTGTATTTTTTGTGAGTTGACTTAATAGTTTATGTATATTGACTTTACTTTGTAGGAAGTAAATCACGTAGGAAGTAAATCACCAAGTATCTGTTTCATTTAGGGAAGTAGTGATATAGATGAGGAGGCAACTTGATAAATGTGCTATTCATAAGCTAGAAACTACAGTATTTCCAAACTAATAGACTGAAGAATTCTAAATAAGTTCAGAGATATAGTTATATTTAAAGTTGTCCTACAGTTTGCAGATAATTTTTATGTTACTACTCTTCACATTAACTTCTGTTTATTTTTAATGGTACTATGTGTAGTCCTTATTAAAATTAAGATTGTATGGTTAAGTAAACAGGAAAACCTGATTTATCTTTAATTCTGTGCTAGATACTTTTAATTCTACATGAACAATACCCTGTTCAGTTCCCTTCATTCTAATGTCCTCGACTGTTACCAAAAACCCTGTTGATTCCCAAACCTAAGATTTTAGCTTCAATTTCTTTTCTGAACTCCAAATCTTAATTTCCAAGTTATTCTTGTTCTAGGTCCATCTAAATGGTCTACAAAGAACTTCAGTTGAATCGTAACTGGAAATAGAATTTATTTCCTCTATTTGCTCCATTCTATCCTTCCACTATATTCCCTATTTTGTTAATGACATCATCAAACTGCATTCAGTTGCTTAGCCTGGAAATACTGTTATGGTGTTCAGCCTTTCCCCAACTTACATATTTTGTGGATCAAAGTCCTGTCTGATGTTTTGGGAGTCCTTTCTCATTTCCTTCCTCCCTGCTTGCACTGCAGCCAGTCTAGTTCAAGTCCTCACCATCCATTCCTTAGCTTGTAGTAGCTTCCTACCCCTGACTCAGGCTCTATATGCTTCCTGCCTATCTGCCACACTGATGCCAAGTTAAGCTTTCTCGTCAGTCTGATTATTTCATTACACTGTGAAAATCATTAGTGGTTACCACTATATGTAGAATTAAATTCCGAATTATTTAGTATTGAAACCAAGGCCCTTAGTACACTGTTGCTAAGCTGCCTATCAAGATTATTGTCTGACCACTTCTCCCATACTCATCGTACGCTCCCATTGTTTCCTAACTCCTCAGTTGTGTGGGGGAATTCAGTACTTTCTGATTCAATAATTTTAGGGTGAGGCCCAAGCATTTCTGTTCTTAAAGTAGTCTATATACTTAGATGTACAGCTAGGGATTAGAACTGTAATTATAAGCAACTTTAGGAGATAGCCTAATGAGTTTCCTTTCACAGAGAGAAGTGAGGATGCAGTGATACCACATCAAACAACCTCCTGCTCTGTGGAATACAGTTTACCCTCCTGGGGATGTACAGTGTAACAGCCCTAATAAGAAAGGAATAGGAGACTATTAGAGTAGCATAGCTATTAAAGGCTTAAAAATATATAGCATTAAAAATTCAATTTTAAAAATTAGTATTGAGAAAAAAAAATTGATCATTATCTTTCAGACCATAACAATCCAGAAATAAAAATAGGGAAATCTAAACAGCTTTTAATGAATGCCTAGTATTGATCAGGCATTATATGTGCTCTAGGGATCAAGATAAGATACCATTTTCTTTTCATCATTCTTTCAGTAAATTTGAATGCTTTTTATGTGCGAGGGACCCAGTGGTAAGGAAAACAAAATCCCTGCTTTCAGAGAACAAAGTCTGAGGGAGACAGTAAATTATCATGGAAATATATAATTGTAACTCTAATTATTGTGATGAAAGAAAAAAAATCTCAGCCTAACAGGAACCCTTGATCTAGTAGGGATCAGGAGAGGCTTTCCTGAGCAGGAGATGCTTGAGTTGGCATCTGACATGTGAGCTGGAATTAGTTATGTGAACACAGTACAGCTGGAAGGGAAATGAGGTGAGATGTTTTGACCCCAAAAGACAGACCTGGAGAACTGATAAGGGGGTTTACAATTACTCATTTTCAGTTGTGATCCAAATTCAAGTAATTGTTTATCCAAATCACAACAAATTAATTTTTATTATACAAATAAAACCAGAATAGTTAATACTGCACATGATAAATGTATTAGAGAAAACTTACCGAAGAACCACAAGATTAAAAATTGCCAAAATTTAGCCAATGATGGGCAAAAAAAGAAAAAAAAACAAAAAAGTTGTCAAAATTGACCCTAGAAAAATTAGACTTGATGGAAATATTCAACAAAGTAAAACATCCCAGTTATTGACCAAATTTAATAGAAGAATTGCATTAATAAAATTTAGATTTTTTATTTGATCCTTAGAAATCAATGGCAAAAACTCTAAAAGAAGATTGATTGATTGAGACGGAGTCTCGTTCTGTTGCCCAGACCGGAGTGCAGTGGCATGATCTCAGCTCACTGCAACCTCCAACCCACCAGGTTCAACCAATTCTCCTGCCTCATCAGCCTCCTGAGTAGCTGGGATTACAGACGTACACCACCATGCCCAGCTAATTTTTGTATTTTTAGTAGAGACAGGGTTTCACCATGTTGGCCAGACTGGCCTCAAACTCCTAACCTCAGGTGATACACCCTCCTCGGCCTCCCAGAGTGCTAGGATACAGGCATGAGCCACTGTGTCTGGCCCTCCAAAATAATTTATATATGCAAAAAACAGATTGGGGACACAATATGTTGCCCTATCATTAACATAGAAAATGGTATTCTCAGTGAAAATAATTTATGTCGAAGCATAATTTGTTTTTGCTGCAATGTATAGAAAACTGGTAAGGCACTTAATTGGCTTGAGGCTGGGCATGGTTACTTACACTATAATCCCAGCGCTTTGGAAGGCCAAAGTGGTAGAATCACTTGAGACCAAGAGTTCAAGACCGCACCAGCCTGGGCAACATAGCAAGATCTCCATCTCTACAAAAATAAAAAATAGCCAGGAGTCGTGGTGTACACCTGTAGTCCCAGCTACTCAGGAGGCTGAGGTGGGAGGATTTCTTGGGCACAGGGGTTTGTGGTTGCAGTGAGCTATAATTTCACCGTTGTACTCCAGGCTGCGTGACTGAGCAAGCCCCTGACTCTAGGTAGGTAGGTAGGTAGGTAAGTAGGTAGGTAGGTAATAGATTAGATAGACTTGTGTGCATGCAAGGATTAGATGATAGACAAGATAGGCTTGAGTGCGTGTGAGAATAGATAGATGGATAGAGACAGAGAGAGAGAAAGGGAGAGGCTTGAGTGCATGCAAGAAAATATTTTCTCACCAAAAATCCATTTATGATGGTATGATTCTCATTTAATGTTTGTATTCATAAGCATGTCAGAAAGCCTCTAGTGTTATTTATGGTATTTGGAGAGGGAGGCATAGGCAGACTGTAAAATCCCTAAAGCAGAGGCATCAAGCTCTTGGGGATCTTAGAGGCCAGAGTATTTAAGACAAAGAAATATCTTTCAGACATCTTAGGGTGTAGATGAGAAAAACAGTTTCAATACATTGTGCTAATTTCTGTAATAAAAGGAAGCACTAGGTTGTTCAGGATTCATTAGAAGGTTACCCACGTGGGTGGGAAATTAGGAACTTATGTCCCAATTATTTAAATTATAATAATAGCTACTACTTTAAATGATGCTTACTACACTATTGGCATTATTTGAAGCACTTTTGGGATACTAATTCATTTATTCCTGACAACAATCACTATGAGGCAGATACTGTTATTCCCATTTTACAGATAAGAAAATTGAAGTTGGGTTAAATTACTTTCTAAAGCTAATGAGTGGTGGAGCTCAGATTCATACCTAGGCAGCCAAACTCCAGAGCATAAGTCAATTAGATACGTGATGTATGGTTATAATAAAAACATAAAATAATACTTGTTTTCTATCTTTAAAATCTTAGGAGCCATAGTTTCTAACAAAGTGATGTAAATGTTTTCATTTTTGTATATTGTATAACTTTGAACACAGCTGTATAGAGAGAGGCTATGTTATTTGTGTAAGGTCAAAAACTAGTAAGTTGGAGTGTCAGAATTCAACATCTGGCAGTCTGGCTTTTGAATTCAGACATTCGTCAGATAAAAGAGATAGGTGGAGTGGTTAAAAAAAAAAGGATCAAGTTTTGAAGGGTGTTGTGTTTCCGGTTAATAAGGAGTCATTGGAGCCTTTAGGACTTGATTAGCTCAGATGTGTGTGTCGAAAGATCACCCTGGATCAGTGTACAGAAGGGCTCAAAGAGGTAGTTCTGAGCAAGAAGGTATAATGCAATCTGGCCTTAAGCTGAGATAATGGCAATGGGAGAAAAGAATATTTTGACAAAGCCCAGTGACCTTTTAGATTGGGAAATAAGGAAGAGGTAGAAGTAATGAGTAATTATCCTCTTTCTGTCCTGGACATCTGGGAAAATGGTACCATATACTGCCTAAAATAGGGAATAGAGGAGGAAGTTTTGAAGAAATGTGTTGAGTTCCTGACTCCCAAGGGACACATAGATGGAGATGGTCAGTAGACAATAGGGTTCCCAGGTTCAAAAGGCTCTCAGGAGATGACAATTGAAACTCCACGAATAGATTTGAAGCCACCCAGGAAGAGAGCACAGTGAGAAGCAAGCAAAAGAATGAAAACACTTGAGAAATGGACAAACTTAGGACAATCTACAAAGCATCCTGTTAAGTGAATATCAGTATAGAAAAGAAATAGCTTGGCACTATTCTCCATACTGTGTGTCCAATACATTTTATATGGGCAAAAATTAAATATTAAAAGAACATTTAATATTGCTAGGGAAAAGCAGACCAGCATATTTTAGTGTCAGAGCACATTCGCTTATGTATATTTCTTAAATGAGTATGAGGGATAGGTGAATAAAATGCTTTTTAAATGTACATGAACAAACATCAAAAGCAAAACAAAAGAATGAGGATCTGGAGCAACTGGAACTCATAGATGGCTAGTAGGAATGCAAAATGGAACAAAGATTTTGGAAAACAGTTTAGTTTCTTGTAAGTTAAATATACTGTAGGACCCAGCATTCGGCTCCCAGTTATTTATCCAAGCAGCTAAAACTTATATTCACACAATTCGTATGCAGATGTTTGTAGAATACATTAATTTTTTCATAATTAAACTGGAAACAACCCAAATGTCCTTCACTGAATGAATGAATAAACTCAGGTACATCCATATAATGGCATACCATACTCAACAATGAAAAACTATTGATGAACAACATGGATA